TAAGGCCTTAAAAGTACGGAGTTATGCCATTCGAAACCATTCTGAAAAGACTGTGTGCGGCCAGCCAGACAAATCCATAGATCTTTAAGTATGATAGTCCAATTTTAGCAGCTGGATTGACCAAGATCTTAGTTAAACTTTGGGAACTAAACATAATTCTATTTCATTGGTCTTGATCATTGATCTTCCCAGTTTATAAAAAAGAAGAAAAGTTCTCTTGTGACTACCACAGAAGAATTCACTGACTGTTATAGAGTTTAAAACATTAGCTTCGATAACTATTCAACCCTTAACCAGAACTAATGACGGTCGAACCCTAGATGGATATGACAGGAAGATTAACCAAGATGTGGCATCTGTCCATGAAACCACTGATTGTAAGACTAGGAGTATAGGTAGATACAGACTATCTTGTTTGGGTCTGTGCTACTGTCGTAACCAGTAGTTGAAGACTGAGTGACATGACTAAGAATCTTCCGGAATAACGCAGATCCATTCATTCTTTGTCCTTCCTTAGACCCCAAACCCCAAAATCTTACTTTCCTTCTTTCTTCTATCCCTAATCCTTTCTATCACAACAATAACCATTACTGATACCGTTACTACCAGAGTTACTTGATAAAATAGAAAAACTATACTACAGTACTTCATTTTCAAAATGCTAATTGATTGTCTCAGATTTCATCGTCCTTGCATTTCCACACCAAATGCTTTCTGTCCCCGTCCTTTCCTCCTCGATCTTCTCAACCTTCTGCTGCTAGACATTCAATTTCTGATTAGCGTTATATACTACTTATGTCGACATAAGTAGCACACATCACAATAGTACCAGTTGTTTTTATTCATTATCTGTGCCCTTTGTATTTCAGCCTTAATAAAAGTCCTTTCTGAAATGGAACATCACAATGAATTAGAAAGATTTAATGGGATGAAGAACTTTTCTCAAAAGTTAGAAAGCTCAAAAAACTTAGTAATTTATGGTCTAAAGAGGAGGTCTCAGGCTATTAAAAGTCTCTGTAAAGATATCAGGTAAAGACTAAGGCCGCAAAAATTTAAACTAAGCATCACTATTTAAAACACAAAATTGCAGAATGACTGAGCTAATTGGTAGGATGTTTTACTGTTTCATTCGGTTATCAAGTGGCCGAGTGATGGGTCTTTAAAATAATTTGGAAATAAAATTATACGAAGTACAATTAGTTTTCATATAAAATCATCTAGCCAAACAAATATTTACCAGTTATATTTTTGGTAAAATCTTTAATAGTTTCATGATGAGTTGCTCATACTTATAACTTGAGTTTTGGGAGTTTTTAAACTAATAAATGGCGTAGAAAGTGATGAATATAAATGTGAATGTTAGTGTAATTGTCAGTACTTAGTAATTTTCCTAAATAGGCAATTTTGAAATCTTATCATATATGTCCCATAATTTTCTTGGTTGATCTGTATTTAATTTAAATTAAATGGACAAATAAAAAAATGCTTATATTTCATAAGTTTGGACAGGTTTCACGGTCTAGATCCAATTTAAGTTGTACTGCTTCCAAACTCTCTCAAAGGATACAATAATATAGATAATTAGAGGAACTTCATCTAAAAAAGGTTTTCATTTTCCGTTGTATCAGTTAAGTGCAAAGATTGTTTGCATCTTGTTGACATAACTTCTGGTTTATTATTTTGAGCATTTTATCGACCTTTTATTTGTTTAACTCACCTTGTCATGCGCTTCTTTTATGCCTAAATTTTCTATCTAATTAGTGAATTTATTTCAATGAATTCAGGCCAATAAATTGAAATTATCCCTCTACCTAAGTTTACAAAGACATAAGATTCATCTTTTCACAAAATGATGCACTTGAACCTTCTGTCTTTTAATCTATTTTCATTTTCAATGTGTTACGATCGTATTCTAACCTTTATTTTATGACTTTCTTTAATCTATATGTTTTAGGTATATCCTGATAGCATACAAAATCCCACAAAATTTAACTCAGTTAAAGTTTTAAATGTTCAAGACCGACGAAAAAGCAGTTCTCTGAATGAATTCGATATTATTCGTATGTATGATTATGAAGCTACACCTTTATCAAAGATAAACGAAACCGATGCCAATAAGGCTCGTGAAAAGGGTCTTAATCCAGCACAGAGTTTTAGGTCGCTGTTTCACATCGGGCTAGATAAAAATCATGTAAACAAGAATATTATTTTATGACCCATTTTCATGTCTGCCTTGTCACACAAGTGGTTTGTGTAAACTAAATTGGTATATATATATATATATATATATATATATATATATATATATATATATATACGCCTGTACTGTATACCGTGTGTGTAATACGTTTTCGTTGTATTCATCTGTGCTTTTTTCGGTATGACTTTTAAACTTGGTGGATTTTCAAACAGTTTGTCTTTGCAATTTTTTTCAGTGGAGATTTGTTCGATTCTTGCTTGTTGTTTGTTGCACGGTTGTTTATGCTTTAAAAATTACTGTTGTTTGTTGAAGTCATAGCTTTTCTTTAATAGAACGAGATTTGATATGTGCGTTGTCTTGATAAGTCATCTCTGGAATTTCTTTTATCTATAGTTTTCTCTTTCTGACTGACCTCTCTAGAGAACGCTCAAAAAAATTAAGACTGATCAATCATATTTATTGATCTCACTACTAAATTTTACGAAAATTTCGAAAGTAGACCTTATAAGTTTTGCGTGTAGACTGGATAAACTATTTTCATGTTCAATGTATCCATGGTGCATAGCTAATCATAGTCATTCACTAAGCGTGTAGAAAGCACTCATAGATATTTTTTTCATTAATTTAATGCTGGAAAAGCCTTAGTACAAATTGATTATTCATGGTTCTATGGAAAATTTATTTTTAATTACCATGCTCCGTGATATGATGCCTGGGGAAAATTACTGTGCATTGATAATTATAATTTTATAAGAGTACATGATAAACACATTTTATATTGTAAAAACTAATCAAATTGCTAGGGTTTTGTTTGTTCTGATTTTTTTTGGTAGATATTTTCACCAGTAGTTTGTATTAGTTATTTTGCAATGTCTGAAATGTTTCTGTGTTTAACGTTAGTTTGTTCATAAAACTGTATGTTAATTTTTTTTTCCGTTGTTATGAGCACTTTTCTTTGTTGTATAGATGTATTTCAGTTTTACAAATCGAATTTAAAATTTAATGAAAATAAGCCCCTCGGACCATAAGTATTGTGTGATGGGATTCAGCATTAGTGATAATGAGCTACTGGTTTTGATGTGTGTGTGTGTGTGTGTGTAACTGTAATATGTATCATTGCTGTGTGATAGATAGTCTGTAGCTCTTATATGTTGTACTGTAAAAAAAATTTTCAAAGAAGTTTACTTTACTCTTATGATGGTACTTAATTTGTGTGTATTATCTAGTTTTTATTATCGTTGAATTATTTCTTAAACTCTGAAGCAATATTATTATTTATTTGAATAAAATGATTTTTTAAATATGTATTTCTAAGAGACCAGTACTTGTAGACTAATTACAGTTTAAATCGGTTAAGTGTTCTCTATTGTTATGCTAAAGTTTCGAGTGTGTGATTATTCATACTGTTTTCAACATTCAATAAGAGTGCAATATCCACCATTTTCAAGCATTTTTTTCGTTCATTTAGTGGTTGAGTGAAACACATAAGAGCATGATGTTCGCTGGGGATTTCATTTCAACCATCTAAAGTTATCTGTATGTCTTCTATGAACACGTCACTGTAGCATATCTCAATTTGCTAGATTAAAAAGCAAATAAAGTGAGATTTAGACCTTAAAATAGAATTCTCTGAGAAAATTATGATGTTATATGCAGCACTCAACTACTAACTGAACGGAAAAATGCCTGATTATGCTTGATATCCCACATATATCGATATCGAAGAACTGAAGCACTACAGATTCACGGACACGTATTCTATCACAAGTTTTACCCTTGGATACTTTTAAGTTGGAAAGACTCGAGTAGATCACCGCTATTCATGTCTAAATGAGGCGGATAAATATTGGATATTCAACATCTTCCGTAAAGTATAAACAATATTTTTTTAATGAAAAGTTATAATAAAGCGACTGTGGTTTTCCACTTCCTGCCTTCAGCATTAACAAGATAAATGCAACTAAGCCGGTGGTTGAATTTGGTTTTAGATATTGTTATTCTGCAGATAAGAACATATCAAAATCGTTAGATCTAGACGTTAACTCTGAAATATATTTCATATTTCTATAATATCTTATTGTGAAAGAAACAATGTAAATCAATTCTTAAAAAACGACAGAAAGGAAAATAAACATTTTGAATGAAGCATGAATAAAATAGATTTATCTAATTGCACGAAAATCAGTAGATAGCATTTATTCTCTGTATGTAGATAAATGTACAGTTTTCACATACTCCATTCAAATTATTAAGTGGTTAGTAAGTACATTTTTTAGTAAAGTGAATTTCCTATTGTTAACTGGGTGATAAGAGTTTAGTGGTTTGGTTTTTACTACTAACCAGTAAGTAGATGTAATGTTAACTCTGATCCAACTGGTATAACAACTTAATTCATTTAACTAAACATTTAAAAGTGAGTGAACAAATCTCCAGCCTTGTTTCATTTAATTGCCTGACAAGGTTAAATTACTGTATCTTTAGACTTTATCACCGAAAACCATCTCATGATATTTCATGTTCAGTTCCAGCACGTGATGTGATCCTTCAAGTTATTAGTTATTGTAAAGAGAAAACTTGAAATTCCTTTAATATTCAGCATAAAAACTACTCTCATCAGACTTCTGGAATTAATTTACATTTCTACATTGTACTATTTGGTGATATTTTTTATTATATGGCTTTAACCAATTAATTCTCATTCATCCCAATAATGAGAAAATGGATAAGCTATTATTCAAAGATTTCATAATATTTATTTTCTATGTTGCTAAGACTTTAATATATTGTTTCTTAAAATAAGGCCAGCCATGCATCCACCCTAAGTATATACAGCGAACGCGAATCAAGTTACGCGCATGGCATTCAGATATCTGGAGAAATGCTTATGGCTGTGATTTACGATGATGCATATAATACACTAAGAATCAGTATCAAACAAGCACGTAACCTAGCGATAGCAGATAGAAAACGCAACATAACCAATCCGTAAGTTTAAATTTTCTCACAGTGATTGATGACCGGGAATTTTTCATGCTATATTTCCCTAATATTTGTGTTTATTCAGCATATTAATTTGAAACCGAATGATCACTAAGTAGAGACTTTTGTTCTGTGTGTCCAATTTGTAGTGCAAGTCGAATTCTATCAACCAAGTTGCACTTTGATCACTAGTCCACATGACTTACCATTACATGCACTGTGTATCGATGACTGAAATAGCTCAGTAGTAAAGTCAGTACCTAACTCTGGCTGGTGCGGTTAGGAAACACAGTGGGATCTTGAGTTTTATCAAGATCGTAGATTAGCCTTCGTGACAGGTACTAAACAGCATGAAACCTAGATCTAGAACTGTATGTACACTTATTCTAATTAGCAATATTGAGCATGCAGGTTTATCGAATGCATAATGCGTCACGGTGTCCTTCACCTTTGTACGAATAAAGATAAGTCAACCTCTCAGATCTGTTTAAAGTCATCTATCCCAAGATCCATGGGATTATGAATTTCACAATTGGTTCGAATAGTATGGACTTGGCGAAATTACTCTGTTCGAATATCTCATATACTTTCCTTTATAATATCATGTCGTGGAAACCGAGAAAGTTCTTTTAATAAATTTTGCATCATCTTCTGGAGTATATGCACTCAATTTTATTGTTACATATTTGCTCTCTTCCTTCCTTCTTATTATTATGCAAAACAATAGCTATGTGAAATGCTATTTACTACCAGATCGAACTAAGAGTAGCAAGCGAAAAACATCGTACAAAAAAGCAACATGTAATCCAGTTTATGATGAAGAATTTAAATATCATATACTAAAACAGGATCTAACATTGCGTACACTCCAAGTATCTGTTTGGCATCATAATGCATTGGGTTTGAATTTATTTCTGGGTGAGATTTTTTTACCGCTGACTTTCCATCAGTTTGACCAAGCCTCCCATTGGTATACACTTGGTGAACACGTAAGTTATTTAGTTCATTTTATTTTAGGTTTCATTGATCGATTCATCAACAAGATATGGATTATTTATGATGATTCTTTGGAACATAAACTATAAGAAATTCCCCAATCTTAAATCCTTTTCCGATAACCTTTGAAAAAATCTGTCTTGTGATGCACTTAAAAAGTACTAAAAGCTTCATATTACTAAGGAGTCCCTCCTAAGACGATTGATAACGAAGCCTTTTCACTGAAAATGTTTATTTATTACCTATGCATTTGAAATTAGTGGTAGTACTTTTAGAACAGAACCAAAGGAAGAATTCCAGTCTCATAACTGTTCTCCAAACTGAAAATTATATTATGATACTGGGCAACTACAGGTGCTTCTTTTAGATTTGTTAGAAACCTTGTATAGATCAATACACTCATTTAATATAAGCTGCAGTGTATGTCTCAACTTTTCCTTATCGTTTTGACAAAAGAAGTCATTGCGGTAGTTCAAAACTTGACATTCTTATCACCAGACACATTCATCCGTATTGGAATTACCTTCGTTTCCTTCCAAATCTTCAAAATAAAGTTCATTGGTCACTATTTGGTCAAGATGCTCACTAATGGATGACACATAAGATCAGAGCATTTCTTAAGAAGCAGGTTCAGAATGTTGTCAATCCGTAAACATTTTAATGAATCAAGCGAATTCAGATATGTTGAAACCTTAGTATCATTAAATATTGAAACACAGCCCTCTATCGAACTTGAAGAAATGAGAAATATAACATCAGGTCCTTAGCATATGGAAGACTTATTTAAGCTACAAACATTGAGGTGGGTATCGCCATTAATTCATTCCACAACCATAAGAACGTTAAATGGTTTTCACGTATTTGAAGGTTTTTTTAAAAAGATAAGAGCTTTTGAGTATACAATATATTTAGGAGTTTGATCTTTCGAATTACTAGACAATCAAGCCTTTAGACGCTAATATAATCCTTTTCCTTGCATAGTCTTCTATCTCTTCAGTTGTTGGCAGGTATGCTAAATGAATCTTAGAAAAATTATTTCGTTGGGACAAAAAACCTCAATGCAAAATTAAGGTAGTGATACTATGAACTATGTCGATTCACAAATCCCTTCCTATTTAAAATATATTTTTCAGTTCGGAGATGTTTTCTTGTGAATCAGTAAAAAGTAATGGGGAAGATGAAGTATAGTCTGGGGTCATATGAATATTAGTAGAATAAATATACTATAGTTTTTCAAGTGTTTTAAATGGCATTCTGATATTAAACAGTCGATAAAGTCGTTTAAAAACCTAAAATAAAAATGGTTAGATTGACACCAGCTCATTTTAATCAACATAACTACACCACCACATTTATCCCTGTTACTGAAACAATATTGATGATGTCTTGAAACCATATAGTGTTACCAAATTGTTATCATGAAGATAATTTAACTAGGACTTTTGAATTTCGGTCATACCACAATTACTTTATACGTTCGAAGTTTAAAAAAATTTTAGATAGTTATTTTTCCTTAAGTGATTGTAATTCGTCACAACTGTCATATAAGTGAAGTGAAGCAAAGCGATGATACTCTGCGGAAAAACTATTTAAAACAAAGTATATCATGAAAATGGCTAGTCTCAGTAAAATCCAATCACCATTATCATTCTGGGTATATTTACTTTATAACGAACATTGTTCAAATTGGTTTTTGAAATATACTCTACCTAATAGTATTGAATATTTTTATTAAAAGAATAGCAGATATTGACTTCCAGTTCGATAACCAACCAACAAAATGTCCTAAGCGATAATCCCTATACGGTATTATTAAGTTTTCGACCATAGTTAAGACAAAAAACACATGGATTATCTTTTAAGTGATGAAGAAAATTTCATGATAAGATTCTGAATTGTTGGCATTATTTATTAACAGACGAAATTAGATTATATAAACTTAAGCAAATATGATGGAAATTTAATTACGATTATTGTTATTAATAAAAATGTTTAAAGCCCCGTTATAAACTTCTTTTTGTAAAATCCGTCATGAAAGTAACAACTTGAAAATTTTACGTTAGAGGTATTTGTTCATTGCAATTTGATTGCAACTTAGTATTTCTTTAGAATTTTGCCTACGGACAGTTTAATACAACTATTTCTAAAAAAAATTTAACCCTATAGCGCTTCCTTCCAACGGTATCACACTTACAAGTCAGTCGAGGGGAAATAATTTTAGCCATAAAACTCGTACCAGGTGAAACAGGTAGTAATCGGGGTGAAATTCATGTATGGATCAAATCTGCCAGAGGTCTCAGTGCGTCTACTGACGGGATGGCTCTAAAGAAGGATAATGTTGATCCCTATGTAAAAATGTATGTTCACGTAAGAAAGTTTCTGGAGTAGTTTTTTTATATTTAATGTTTTGTCATTCAGAGAACTAACAAGAATAATACAATTTACTGACCTAATAATATTCACTTTTCTAAAGCTAACTTATTTCTAGTGTACAAACAAATATAGCGATATACACATAGAAAAGATCAATGTTCGGGATTGCATAGTACATCTGAACACATTGGTATGCTCTCAAATGACATGGTGATAGAGAAAACAAAGGGAATAGAGTAACATTATTATAAATAAAAAAGATGGTAAATAAACATTCCAAAATGATTGGGTATACACATTTTTTATCGATATCACCCCCTGATTACATTCAAGTTAATTCTAGCTGATCTAAGCCATTCCATCTTCTACTTCTGACTTCTGGATTTTGTGTGCACATCTTAGAGCCTGTTGTTAGTGGTTCCAAGTTACAGTTCAATCTTGTATTATATACTGTAGAGGTATGGGTGCTGGTTGTTTGGAGCGAATCGCCAGAAAGCCTTAAGTCTAAGCTTTGTGTTATTTGGCATCACAAAATAAGATGTGTCTCGATTATCAATGTAGCCTGTACTCTTCATGGGATCCTAACCTGTCCCACTCGGTATTAATATCAACGATGCTACTACTGTGTTTCTCAAGCTCTAACTTGTACCTCATGATCGTAAGGTGATTCATCACTGAATAGTAACCAATACCATTTTCGTCAAGTCCTCAAAGTGGATCGAACTTCATTTATCAAGCTTCACCGTATCCACTACTCAAGGTGACTTAAAATAAAGAAAAATAAGTTTTTTTTATATTTTCGGTTGATATTTAGTAGCGACAGAATATGAATTCAATTTGTAGAGATTTGTGTTATCTGTTCGACCATTAATAATTCTGTGTTTATTAGTATTTTCGATTCGGACATATAATATGTTTGAATAGAGTGATGTGATGAAAACAGCAGTACTTAACAGAAACGCACGAATTTAAAACAGACTTGCCTCCTTCCAGTATTCTAGTATTATCTACTAACAAGTATATTAGTTAACAGCATCTGGAATTATAATGGAAAAATTACTTAGTGGTTTAAGCTAACTAGCTCAACAAAGGAATTATTTAGACCTTGTAACAGGATAAATTAAAATCTGAATTACAAAATCAACCATCATTTTAGAATGTTGACATTCAAACAAGTTGGTTCCTGTTAGTAATACACTCTCTTTTTAAGTTTTATGACGATTGAATAACCGACTAAATTACGTATTTCATGTTAAATTGATTCATTCAGTTCATACATAATAAAAACTTTTGGTTTTATGTGCCCAATCGACAATACACTCCTTATGAAATTTTACTTCTAACACACGATCATGTGATATCGGATTTCCAGATATATGTTGCCCGGTAAAGAAAAGCATTCGAAACAGAAGACAAAGGTTGTCAGAAAGAATAATAATCCAGAATGGAACCAAGCTATTATATACAGAGACATTATCCTTAATTCTTTAAATGAAATTGGAATAGAAATTTCTGTTTGGGATTACGATCGGTTCTCATCAAATGATTTTCTTGGAGGATGTAGAATCAACTGTGGATCACGTATGTTTTTTGACTATCATATATTTACTAGCCTCATTAAAAGTCCATAAATAATTTCTGCTAATAAAAAAAACATGTTTTGTGGTCCTTTCACAACCAATTTCAAAAAACACCCTAAAACGTTAGTTCGTCATTCAACTACTTGTAAGTAGTTTGTATGTATACACATCACGAAATAAAATAATTTCAAGTGTTCGTTTATGAAAAGTGATGATCATCCAGCCACATAACGACAAGATTTCAATTTGTCGAAATTTTTCAGAGACCCAGTGAACACAACTTGCTCTTGAGTTAAATACCAGTCAGCACCATATTTTGATGGTAAGCTAAATAATGAATGAATTAATAGATTAACAATTAAATTGGTACGAAAATGATAAATATTTTGAGTAATATGACAAGTCAAAGCGTCATCAATGAAAATACTGGTCAAATGATTAATTATTTTATTGTTTGATTAAGAAGATAAGCACAATTTTGTAATATGGTCCACGTCACGAGTTGATTATAACTACCGAGTCATTACGTAGATCTCAGAATTTAAAATCTTTAGTATTTTTTGTATAAATAACTGTGATGTACCATTCGTACTGTTGCCATTCATAATAACGCTTTTTTCGTTGTCCGTCATATTCAGATAATCAATCATGGTTGGATGCAATGAATGCTGAAAAATCAGCCTGGTTGGCTATGTGCGAAAGACCAAATATTTGGATTGAAGCAACAATACAATTACGATCAAGCTTAAACTGACCAATCTTCATACTTGAAGGCAAGAATTCAGTGCTTCCATTCCTTCATCAATTCCAGAAAATTTTGATCAATTTCCAATATGAATAAAAATTAGTGGTATTCACATTGTTTGTGTATCAGAACTAAATACTTTCATGGATATGATTTCATTAAGTCTGTGTTCTCATAATATGCGCCTGAAGTTTAAATGGTTGCATTTTCATAGAAATACTGAAACTTTTGGTGAATATTTTCTTATGCAATATTCTTACCTTTTCAGTCTTCTTTTTTCTTAATAATTACTAGTGTTATTATTATTATAGTAACACACTATCATCATTATTATCTAGTTCATTTTTCAATATATTTTGTTACAATGAAAAGAAACTATAAATAATAATCATTAGAATATTACATCTTTGTAATTTACCGCTTTGTAAGGCTTACTGTCCTTTTTATTCTATTGTTTATTATGGTCAATGAGGCTATGCATGAAAACTAATTATAACAGTGTAATCTTGTGTATAATTTGTCATAAAATATAATTAAAATTGGTTGCACTTGTTATTCTTTTTTCTTATAAAATGTGAAAGTGTGAGATTTTCATGAATATCAAGTTAATTATAGGGTTGCTTAAATTGTCCTTATTTGAAAATTATTCCGTTGTTTATATATGTCAATTTAGATGAAACAAAATTTGTGATAGAATAGTAATTGTATGATCTATGCCTTATTATTTGTCAGTTATCAGTGTCCATAGTGTAATCATATTGTAACTGCTCAGTTTCATTCCCAATTAATAACTTTATCTTCAGGTTGTGGTATTATTTCATAAATGTTATTTACTTATTTATTTATGCCTGTCACCCTTCGTGAAGCATGGACCGCCGACCAGGATTCTTCAACCTACTCTGTCCTTGGATATCCTTTTGAGCTGTTTCCAAATGAAATCCATAAATGAGGTCTCGTAATATCGGGGCATAAATATAAAAAATGATTCAAATAGTTATATACACTGAGAATGGTGGACTTTACGTTGGTCACATCTTAAATGCCTAGAAAATACAACATTGATAACTTTAACATGTTTTATAAGTGGGTAAAATTGTGAATTATCACCAAAAGAGAAAAGTCATGTTAGTGGGATTCATGAAGTGTAAATTTTATAAGTAATAATAATAATAACTGTAGATTAAGAAAGATGATTGCTTTATTAGAAATGTTTCATAGAATATATCAGAATAAATGTGTGCATACAAAGAGGTTGGGAATAATATTTTATAATGTATAATTAACAATTAGACTGACAGTTAAACCAGAAGTGAGATGATTCTGTAGCTGCCCAGGTAAACAATAAGGCTAAGTGTATTTCTTCTGAATACAACTCTACTTTCTCTTATGTTATCCAGGTGACTTCCATCTTATAAAAGTGGTGTATCCTTGTGCTATATTGTGAATCATTCAGATATTGGTATATAATCGGACAGACTTTCCTTAACTTAATCTGTTCTCAGTATCTACCAGCAGAGAAAGGATGTATTTCAATAAAACCAGAGTACATAGCAGTGTGATATAATGTATAATTTATTCACTATGTCAGTATATAAGGATATTTGCAATCCTAATCAAATTATCTTTTCTCAGCATGTAAATGAATCGCGGATGATCATTCCCGATTAATTTTCAAAGGGATTTATTTTAAGGTCAAACAATCATTTTTGAACAAATTGTGAATATAAAACTTTCTACAAAACAAAATGGATTTATTGATTTCTTATGGCTTCCTATCTGTTACAAACATTTTTGAACGGAACTCATAATTTCTTAGAATAAATGGATTATTACTCTCAGTGAAATACAGTGCTGGCGTTTTGTCCCATCCTGGACTCATCTTCTGAATATACCTGCCTTCTGGTTTTCACTGCTAGACACGCCTGTTTAAGTGGCCATATTAAGGCGTCAGTCTCTGATACACATATAACAACGAGAACTGATTAAAACTTACTCCAGATAAGTCCAACTCTTATCAACAAGCATATTTAATCCCGAATCGTTCACTCAAATTACTATAGGAGATAGAACGATAACTCTTAAATTAGAAAAAAGTAAAACTCATTAATCTTATATTCTGCTTTAAAAATCACTTGTAGCTTATGACCTAGATCTTAATAAACAGTTGGGAAGTATGACAGTTTAAGTAATGCACGAAAAGCTTAAAAGAGACTAAAATTCCGATCTATATTACTGAGATCGGATTTCCAAAACTTATTTGATCGAATATCTTTCAGCCATTGATTAATTTATTACTAGAAACGAAATTCCCCTATTATGACTACTGAGAAGATTCCAAGTTATCTCGTTTTTTTGTAAATGTTAGCTCTTTTTTGTAATGATAACCCCGAGTACAATTTTTATGTTTCGTATTTCTGACTGGCTGTTATCACTTTTAGTTCCGTTAATTTTTCCATGCGTCCCAATGTCACATCTACTTACTATATAAATAGAGATGTCCCATTTCGATTTTTATCTGTCAGATATTGATTCTCCTTCTGCAATGCTACATTCTTGTTGAGTTCCATCTTCCGGCATTGTTTTTGGAGAGTTGTGCGGGTCATTTGTCGACTAAGCAAGTTCACATTAGATTCCGTTCATGTAAGAATGATCTCGAGAGTCCATAGTCAACAGTCACCGTGAACCATACCTAACAAATCTCAAGATCCAATAAAAACTTGTATTGATAATTTTAATTTGACTAGATTGGAACCCTGTTTTAATTTAGTCAGTTTAACAATATCTTCAATTCTTGAATTAGTTTAAATAAAAACTGGATAATGTTTTTAGGTAGGTTTTTAGTTTTAAATATAAAACCTTTTTGACTGCTGTGGTCTACGACAAAAGCTAAATGAATTCACTTGATCCTGGATTCCACTGCTAGCCACTATCCATCTTTGCTTAGAAGCTAAATGATTTTTCAACTTATATTCAATATCGGAGCAATAAATAAAAACAAAACAGTTAGCCACTGAGATTTTCAGACGTTCAAAAAAAAGCCATTTGCTTAGTTAACATTTTAACAAATAATTTTAAATAAACAGATTTCGGTCTCGCATTGACAAGTGTCTAACTGTCCAACAAACTGGTTAATATACCCCGAAATATTGAGGCTAGCCAGTTGGAATAATTTTAAGAATAATTGCTTTTCTTTCAAATCGCATCATTATTTTATTAGATGTTAGTGACAAAACCTTCCTAACAGTTAACTGACTTGTTGAAATGGTCTTCACTGATAATTTGCTCATCCAAAATCCATTAATTAAATAGTTTCTTAAAAAATTTCGTAGAAGTATCAAAATACCTCAATCATTACTATTAGTAAACATTTGTAAATCACACAGTAATTCGGTGGTATTTTTTATTGAGTAGAATTGTTTCACATTTATTAAGTAGTTTCTGGTTATAGTATCAGAATTCTTATGAGATAAATGCATTGGTCAAAGTGTATAAAATAATCCAATTCATCTAATTTGTTACTCTTTTAGGAAAATTGGTTGAAAATTTATGTCATATTGTTTTGAAAGTTGGATTTTAAAAACACATTTAAATCCAGAACTGCATTCAGAGTAGAACTTTGTGGACTAATAGACTAAAGGTGTTATGAGAGAGTAACTTGACTCATATACTGATGTCTAACTAATAAGCTAAGTAAAACAGGCTTTTTGACAACGACTAGAGGGTCACGATAATAGTCCCAAGATTATCCAATACTAATGACGATAAAAAATTTCGGATAATTCAACCATGATATCAAATGACTATTTAGTAATGTACTAGTCATCTAATTCATGTCTCAAAGTAATGTGATCGTATAGCAGAAATAAACCATGGTAAGATTCATATAATCTAATTGTACCATACCAGTTTGAAGTTGTAACAAAGTCTTTTACTTTAGGACTTCATCACAAATATTCTGATCATGTTTTATTTTACCTTTCATCCAAATAATTGTAAATGATTATCACGATAATTTATTAATTCATCGACCACAAATAATTTTGTATGTGTAGTCCTGAAGATTGCAATTAAAATAAATGTATTACTCACAAATTATCAAGTAGTTTAAATTAATTGATAAAGTTATTAGGCAAACGGACAGCATTTATGAAATCAATATTGAATTTTGCTGTAGTTCGTTCTCTTCACTCAGACTAAACAGCAGCCCACAACTTTAAATATTCACATTATTAGCGTAATATAGAAAAAGGAATTATCAATTAATAACGAACAAGTAGTTTGGAATGTGAAAGGAGTTAAGGATTTAGGCTTCTACAATGTTTTTATTGTTGCCTAGGGTGGCTATTCTAAAATACTTAAGATCATTTTATCAAGTGATATGATGACAATGTTAAAACTTTTTGCCAGAGAAGAGGCATGTGATTTCAACTCACTTCACTGTGATTACAATTAATTAAGTCTACACTGCATCATCGCTACTATGTAAATTTGTGACGGAAGTCTATTACAATATCTTAAAATCTGAGAAAAAAGTATAATAAAACACCAAATAAACTAGATAAAGCCTTGGGGTTTTGCCGATGAACAGATCTGAACATCTATGAAAAACTGTGAGGATTATAGATCTGAGCAAACTCATAGCAAGAAATTCAGATGAGGTCAAAACGAAAGTATTAGAAAATCATGTATCCAAACAACTTATAGAACTGAAAATCAGGATGATTAATAATACTACATGTAACGTGTTCGGTTAGGTTAGATTAAATAAATCTAATATATCAATCAGAATTATTGTTCTTATGGTTGATATTCTGTGACATAAATTAGCTCGATGCTCATCTAGCAAACTAGAAATAATTATTAAAAAATTGGGCGAATAGACTAGACAAATATCCTAAATACACTTATGGTTTCATACAACACATTTTCATTTTTTAACAATACTCCTTTTAAAGAAACAATTGGCATTATTAGCCAATACTCACAAGATATATCCATATCACCAATAC